GGTCTGCAGGGCCACAGAGTGCTCTCTTACACATAGTCTTTTTAAAACTAGGAACCATAAAAACTAAGGAATTTTTGTTTGTTTTTTAAAAGCTTTTAAAATTCCTTAAAATGAGTAAATATCCATAAAATTTCCAGTTGTTTCCTATATGGTACAAATGTTACTTTCTTTTTTTAAACAGTTGTATGAGTCAGAATGTAAATAAGGGTTTTGCATTGTGATTGGTTGAGGTATCTTTTAACTCTTCTATAATCTCTGGGCTCTTCTTCCATCTCTTTCCAATCTGAAGAAGTGGGATTGTTTGAGCTATAGAATTTTTCATTACTTGGACTCTACCTTGGAGTAGTTTCTCTGTGGGCATCCCTGGTAACTCAGCTGGTAAAGAATCCACCGGCAATGCAGGATACCCTGTTTGGATTCCTGGTTGGGAAGATTCCCCTGGAGAAGGGGTAAGCTACCCACTCCAGTGTTCTTGGGCTTCCCTGGTTGCTCAGAGGATACAGAATCCGCCTGCAGCTACAGAATCCGCCTGCAGCTACAGAATCCGCCCGCAGTTCGGGAGACCTGGTTTCGGTCCCTGGATTGGGAAGATCTGGAGGAGGGCATGGCAACCCATTCCAGTTTTCTTGCCTGGAGAATCCCCATGGACAGAGGAGTTTCTGTAAATTGGTAGTTGGCCGTATTAATAGATGCTTGATCAGACTCAGAGCCTGTCTCGCTCATTCATAATTAGTTCATTCATTTTTTTTTTTTTTCTGACAGCTTCATAGATCTGTCAGGAGGGACATGTTAGGTTCTCGCTTCTCCCTCTCTCTTCCTGACGTTAGCAGCTATTGACGCCTATCTCCGTTATTTTATGTAATTTTAATTGGTGCTGTAGGGCTTGCGTGACCTTAGTTCCCCAACCAGGGATCACCCCACACCCGTGCAGTGGAACCCTGGGGCCCCTCCATTGGACCACGAGTAGTCCTCCTTTGCGCTTTATTGTCTGGAATACATCTATGGAGAAAAACTTACCTCCTGTGCAGCTTGCTTTGAGCTGGCCCTTACCTCAGCTGTGTCAGACCTCTAAACCTATAGTCACTTCACTCAGTATCCTTTCGCCTCCCCAGGACGAGTTCTGAGGTTCCTGCATCTCTCATCCCCGCCTGCGGGCTGGAACGCAGCGGGATTGAATCCGGTTACTGGTACACTCATGTTTCCCTGGGGGTTTATAGAGCCCCGGCATCCAGAAGAACTGACTTTCTTTGCTCCTCCCTGTATTCCTACTTCATCTCCTCCCACCCACCCGCTGCGGCTTGCAGGACACCTGGGGGAGCCGGACGGCGTTCCCTGAATGCTGAAGACTCTATTCTTAGGACCGCTCCAGATACAGTCAGTTGGCCTCCCACCCTAGGGCCTCTTCCCTCCGGCGCCCCTCCGCCCCAACTACCCCTCTCGGTTCTAACCACTCCTGGGTCCGGACTTACCTTTTCCGCTGAGGGTGGGGCAGATCGAGGTGGGTCAACAGGGGACCTACACCTGGGCAGGACCAGAGCGGAGTGAGGATGTACAGGAAGCCCTGGGGATTGTGTGGGGAGAGGGGGTTCTGGAAGCCTGGTTTGTTGATGTTCAGTCACTCAGTTGTGTCTGACTCTGCAATCCCATGGACTGCAGCACTCCAGGCTTCCCTGTCCTTCACCGTCTCTAGGAGCTTGCTCAAACTCACGTCCATTGAGTCGGTGATGCCATCTGACCATCTCATCTTCCATCGTCCCCTTCTCCTCCTGCTGTCTATCTCTTCTAGCATCAGGGTCTTTTCTAATGAGTCAGTTCTTTGCATCAGGTGGCCAAAGTATTAGAGCTTCAGCTTCAGCATCAGTCCTTCCAATGAATAGTCAGGGTTGATTTCCTTTAGGATTGCCTGATTTGATCTCCTTGCAGTCCAAGAGTCTTCTCCAACACCACAGTTCAAAAACCTGGTTAGTGCTCAAAAAAGTACAAAGCAGGCCTTTCCCATGGGTATCTTTCTTGTTCAATGATGGTTGTCTGTAGAGGTGGGGCTCTGGACTGCTCAATACTTCTGAATGTTTTCCAGGTTGGGAGGGAGGGGTGTGTGGGTCATCTTGCCCAATGCAAGGAGGGTTACTCTTATCTGCCTCCGGGTACCCCCAGGTCATTTCTTCAGTTCAGCTGTCATTTATATGTGAAGTAATAGGTTAAATGCTGGACAGTAATAAGGATAACACTCAACATTTGTTTATTTAGTCACTATTTTAAAAATATTTATTTATTGTTTATTTATTGCTGTATTTATTTGGCTGTGTCTGATCTTAGTTGCAGCACGCGTCCTTGCTGCACACAGAATCTTTGGCTGCTGGCATGTGAACCCTTAGTTGCCGTCTATGGGATTTTAGTTCCCCAGCTAGGGATGGAACCCTGGCCCGCTGCAGGGAAAGAGCAGAGCCCTAAACACTGGACCACAAGGGAAGTCCCTATATTTTTAAATCAAATTTATTTTTTTTTTACTACACTAGGTCTTTGTTGTTGTGCCCTGGCTTTCTCTAGTATCAATGCTAGGGCTTCTCATTGTGGTGGCTTCTCTTGTTGTGGAACACCAGCTCTAGAATACCTAGACTTCAGTAGTTATGGTTCAGGGGCTTAGTTGTTCCCAGGCCGGTGGGATCTTCCTGGACCAGGGACTGAACCCACGTCCCATGCAATTGGCAGGTGGGTTCTTAACTATTGTACCACCAGAGAAGTCCCTCTATAATTTTTATGATGTGTGTTTTAAGTGGGTAGAAGACTTTTGGAAGAAAAAGATAATTGTATAAAAACCAACTTTGTTGGTCATTTAGTGTCTGAGTGTTTTTGTTTAATAGTATCTTTACTGAGTTATAATTCACATACCATACGATTCACCTGTTTAAAGTGTACAATTAAATGGTTTGTTGTCTGTCCACAGAGTTTGTGCAATCATCACCACAGTCAATTTTAGAACATTTTCATCACCCCTCATACCCCTCACCCCTCTCCATTAGCCATCCTTTTAGACTGACTGGCAGAGATTTAAGTGATGCTGAATTTCCCACCACCTCACTTTCTCTACCTGTAATTATATATATTAAAAAAAAATTTTTTTTAAATTTTTTATTAGAGTGTAGTTGAGTGGGGAAGATCCCCCTGGAGGAGGGCATGGCATCACTTGGACGGAGGATATTGGAGGGCTATGGTCCGTTGGGTCACAAAAAGTCAGACATGACACGTAGTTGATTAAAATGTTGTGTTAACTTCAGGTGTATAGCAGAGTGATTCAGTTATACATATACAAGTATCTGTTCTTCTTCAAATTCTTTTCCCATTTAGGTTATTACAGAATATTGAGCAGAATTTCTTGTGCTACACAGTAGGTCCTTGTTGATTGTCTATTTTAAATATAGTAGTTCCACCTGTGATTATAAATGAAATTGGCCAGTTAAGTAACACTTCCTACTGACACTTCTCAGAAGTCTTTCATGTGCATTAGCTCACTTAACTCATACGACAACACCATAGGCTGGCTACCATGTTATAGATGGAGAAACTGCTACTTTGATGTCAAGAGACTTGAGGGGCAGCTGGGGTTCAAACCCACAAAGTCTTAGCTTAGTGAGTGGAAGTCACTCAGTCATGTCCGACTCTTTGGAACCCCATGGGCTGTAGCCTACCAGGCTCCTCTGTCCATGGATTTCTCCAGGCCAGAATGGGTAGCTGGTCTCTTCTCCAGGGGATCTTCCCAACCCAGGGATCAGGGATCAAACCCAGGTCTCCCGCATAGCAGGAGGATTCTTTACCATCTGAGCCACCAGGGAAGCTTAACTATTGTGTGTGTGTGTATATATATATATAATTTATTTTAAATCTTTTTTAATCCATCCAGTCTCTAATGCATCGATGCATTTTTCAATGCGTTAAGTCTTAGTTACAGAATGGGGGGTCTTCATTGCATCATGCAGGATCATTCCTTGTGGCACACAGATTCTCTACTTGTCCGTGGGCTCAGTAGTTGCCGTGTGGACTTTGTTGCTCCTCGGCATGTGGGATCTTAGTTCCCCAACCAGGGATTGAACCTGCATCCCTTGCAATTGCAAGGGGGATTCTTAACCACTGGACTGCCAGGGAGCTCCCCAGCATAACTACTATATTGTACTGATGGGGCAGCTAGCTCCAGGCCTTTAATGTCCACTTGCCCCCGCCTGCAGGGCTGTGAGTCCCATCACCTTCCTGCCCAGTGAATCTCCTTCCCCAGGGGACTTTGCGGATGGGACCCTGAGCAAAATGAGGGAGGAGAGGCAGGGGGAGGCTGGAGGCTTGCCAGAAAGTGGGGAGAGCTGGGGGGGTGGGCAGCTGTTCTTTTCCCCTCCTCACTCTAACGGCGGTTCTCTGCCAGGTGGGCTTTCCAGAAAAGCTGAGCAGAGCCCACCTGTTCCAGGAGCCCTGGTAAGGAAGGAGCTGGCACTGTCCAGAGCTTGGCCAGAATTTCCAGCAAAGTTCAGGGATGCCCCCTGGTGGATTTGCACTCCTGACTCAAAACCAGAGTGATTCTCCAAGGCTTCCTGGGATCTATGGGGCGAGGAGCCAGCCTCTGAAGGCGGGGATCATTTTTCAGCCTTAGCATGTGATCAGGATTCAGTATTGCAGGGGCCAGGGGCCGGGGTTGGGGGTTAAGAACCTTGGTGCCGGTGTTAGATGGAATCAGCTTCAAGTCCCAGCTTTGCTGCTCAATAACTGAGTGTTTGAGGGCAAGTTAGTTGCGGAGGAAAACAGATCGATTGAAGAGGGATTCCTTTAAAGATTGCAGAACGATTCAGTGAGGAACACTGATGGGATGACGTCATTGAGCAGACATGGCATAGGGGTGTAGGATGCTGAGGCATGTTCGGGATGCTGGGTTAGGAGCAGGTTTTGTTTTGTGGGGCCTCCCAAGTAGGATTTGGAACCCTAGCTGGCTGGAGCCACCAGCCTGTGGATTCTGCCCTCAGGTAGCCGGCGGCTGGTGGATGTGATGGACGTGAACACCCAGAAAGGAACGGAGATGAGCATGTCCCAGTTTGTGCGGTACTACGAGACGCCCGAGGCCCAGCGGGACAAGCTGTACAACGTCATCAGCCTTGAGTTCAGCCACACCAAACTGGAGCACCTGGTCAAGCGGCCCACCGTGGTAGGTCCCTGGCTGCAGTTCCCCTCCTCAGTCACCTTCCCCATCCTCTCCTAGCTCGAGGCCAGCCTGCACCCACCCATGGCGGGAGGGCAGGAGGGATTTGGGAGCAGGAGGAGGAGGAGGAGGAAGGTTGAGGCAGTGATGGGGTCTGACTTAAGGGTACCTGGGGCCAGGAAGCGCTGACGGTGGCCTGGCTGGATTTCAGGTAGACCTGGTGGACTGGGTGGACAACATGTGGCCTCAGCACTTGAAGGAGAAGCAGACGGAAGCCACGAATGCCATTGCAGAGATGAAGTACCCGAAAGTGAAGAAGTAAGACTGGCTGGCTGGTGGCGGGAGCTGGGAGTGGGTGACTCTCAGCCTTGTAGGAGATGAGGGCTGGAAATGAGCCTGGGCTGAGGCCACAGCTCTTTGGGGTGCTGCTGGGATGTGAGTGCTGGGGGTCCTGAGTGTGGGCAGGTTGGCTCTGCATTCTGCTCTGGGTCTGGATTCTTCATCCAGATGGTTCTTTGGCCTTCCTGCCAGCCCTGCCCACGGGGATGTGATCTGAAGAGGAGCAGGAGTCATGGAAACCATCTCTCTGTGCATATGTATGTGTGTGTGTGTGTGTGTGTGTGTGTGTGCGCGCGCGTACGTGTCAAACATTCATCTACTCCGTCTAAGTGACAGTGTGTCCTAGGAGTGGATTTTCTAGGGACCCACCGTGGACACTTTGCTTTTGCTGAGGGCTGAATAGGGGTCTGGTATTATTTTGCTTTCTGTTGTTGAGACCAGGCACCTCTGATGGAGAAGAACCTTCTCTGAATAAAGCCAGGGGCCACTTCCTCACCAGATACTCCTTAGAGAGACAGTGTCCTCTAAGGGGAGGTTGGTGCTGCGCTGGGAAGTTTGGCCACATCTAATTACGGGGACATCACTACAGGAAGCGTGACCAGCAAGTCCTGAGACCAGTTATTTAACACGGGCAGAGGTGGCTGCGAGCACCTCCGTGTTCTAGGATTTGAGTGGTGGACCCTTGGGATGACGAAGTCACCTCGGGGCTCCTGCCATCTCAGGCCCTCTGTTTCCATCTCTAAAATGAGAATGAGATGCTCGCGGCCCAGGGAGTTGCTCTGTGCTTCCTAGAAGAGTTGGCTCTGGTGGCTCTGAATCCATTAGCATCTCTCTGCTGAGCCCTGCTGCCAGGAGTGCCCCCAGGAGCTTAAAGACTGTGAGCTTCTCATTCACTCAGCCCTTCATTCAGTGCATATTGAATGCAAACTCTGTGCCAGGCTTTGTAAGGGAGGCCAGCACGCTGGTCCGTTTTGCTTTCAAGCTCTCTCTCTCTGTTTAATTACTTCTCAGGCATTTTTTCTCCTCTCAGAGCTGATGCTCCTTAATGCCCTTTGGATCTGGGCTGCTTCGAAGGGAATGACTGGGCTCAAGGTGGGGTTGGTAGGAGGGTTTTCAATTCTGTTCTGTTTCGATGCCATCGCAGCAAAATTCATGGAGACCCTGGGACAGGGAAGTAAAAGAGAAACAGGTCTAAAAGCCCGTACCTTCTGGCAAACAACAGGCCATTAACGTGAGGGCAAGGTGCAGCTCTCATCCTGTGTGTGTGTGTTAGTTGTGTCCGACTCTTTGCGACTCCATGGACTGTAGCCTCCCAGGCTCTTTTGTCCATGGAATTATCCAGGCAGGAATACTGGAGTGGGTTACCATTCCCTCCTCCAGGGGATCTTCCCGACCCAGGGCTCAAACCCAGGTCTCCTGCATTGCAGGCGGTTTCTTTACCGTCTGAGCCACCACGGAAGCCAGCTTTCATCCTAGGCAGACAGAAACAGGTTCCCAGAAGGGAAATGGGGAGAAGAGAAATCCTGTTTGGCTGCTGGCCTCAGAAAATCCTCTCAGAGGGGATATTTGACATGGGCTTTAAAGGACAGAGAAGATGGGAGGGAAGTGAGGAGGGATGGAGGTAGGCAAGGGCCGAGGGCCTTGATGGAATCACAGAGGCGGAGCTTGAGGAACAAGAGTGGGACTCAGATTAGAGGCAGATCCTGGCTCTCTTTGATTGATCGATTGATTCCACCTGTAGATTGAACATCTGATGGGTGCTGGGCACTGAGAATACAGCGGGGAGAAAACCATGTGAGCTCCCTGCCCTCATGGAGCTTATGGTCTCTGCAGGAGACCTATTAATCCAACGATCAGAGGAACAAATGGAAGTTTGCAATTGTGATGAGGCCACAAAGCAGAGACCCCTGGTGCTATAGCACGTGTACTAGGGGATTCATCAGGTCAGGGAGGGCGGGGCAAGCCATCCTGAGCTGCGGTCTGAAGGGAAGAGGAGTTATTTAAGTGAAGAGACCTTGGAAGAGCTTTTCTGACTGTGTACCGGGAGCCTGGGGTGGTGGGTTAGGCTGTGAAGAGGGTGGAACGGAAGGACTTGCCAAAAAGGCCAGTGGGAGTGGAGCAGAGCGAGGGAGGGTCAGGCTGACAGGAGTCATAAGAGAGTCGTAAAGCTGGTGTGTGTGCTAAGTCATTTCAGTTTTGTCCGACTCTGTGACCCTGTGGACTGTAGCCCGCCAGGCTCCTCTATCCGTGGGATTCTCCAGGCAAGAATACTGGAGTGGATTGCCATGGGGGTCTGTATTTCTCCTAAGAGCAATCAGAAACCTCTTGAGTTACCAAAAAAAAAAAATCATTTTTTGATTACTCGGCATGTGGCATTTTAGTTTCCCAATCAGGGATTGAACCCACACCCCCTGCACTGGAAGAGCAGAGTCTTAACCATTGGACCACCAGGGAAGTCCCCTGAAACCTCAGAGATTTTAAGCAGAGAGGGATGTGTTCATATTTGCATTCTGCAAATCCTGCAGCTGCAGTGTGGATTGAAGGAGATGTGGGGGCAGACTGATAGGAGCAGCCATTGCATCATCTACCTGAGGATGGGTAATGGGGCAGTGTTAGGGGAGAGCAGAACACAAATGGGACATGTATTTAGGAAGGTGAGATAGACAACCTTGGGTGACAGATTTCAATTGAGTAATGTCTACCTTGCCTGTCTGAGATATTCAGTGTATTCTTCACTTTATTGAAAGATTCCTTTAAATAGTAAGCTCTGTTAATACACTGAGAGTTCTATCTAATTACCAAAAAAAGGGTCACCCACAATTTTCTAGATCCACATGTCTTGGACATATTGGTTGGATCATGGTGGCAAGTAAATTTACAAACCCTGTCAGTGACTTAGAACTTGTTACAGGATTTGAAGCTTGTTAGGACGGAAATTGTCGCCTTGGAAGTAGTACATTTGTTCAGCTGAAACGAATGCTGACTTCAGTTAATAAACAAGGTAAAAATCCCATGATGATGAAGTCCTCTGGGATCATAGAATTGTTCTTTGGAATTTAATTAAAACGACACTTTCTAGAAATCAGAGTTTTCATGCTGGAGGTGCCTGGAGAGTGGAAACAGCTGAAGGGTCACCTGAACCGAGGGTTTGCAGCGGGGCAACAGGAGGGTTACAAACCCATGACTGCTTCCTCCCTGGATCCAGGATTTATGCCCTTTGATCATGGTGAGGAGGTAAAGAATTTTAATGGATTTTTGTTCAGGAATTTCAGGCAAGGAAGGGGTGGAGACAGTTGTCAAGGGGGTAGTTGCAACGTTGTGGGAGACAGAATATGTGTAAAGGGTACACTAGTGTGGGAATTCTCTGGTGGTGTAGTGTTTGGGACATGATGCTTTCATACTGTGGCTCCCACTGGATCCCTAGTTCGGGAACTAAGATCCCACAAGCCATAGGGTGCAGCCAAAAAGAAACAAAACCAGCTTAGGCCTGGGCCTCAGTTCTTCACTATGTGGGCCTCTCTGTAAGGCTGCTTTGAGTGTCCTCAAGACATGGCAGCTTCCTACCCTCCATCAGGAGTGGTTTGAGAGAGAACAGGAGGAAGCTACAGTGCCTTTTATAACCTAATTTTGGAAGTATATACTTTTTCGGTCACGCTAAGTCCCTTCATTCATTTCTGACTCTTTGTGACCCTATGGACCATATAGCCTGCCAGTCTCCTCTGTCCGTGGAATCTTCCAGGCAAGAATACTGGAGTGGATAGCCATTTCCTCCTCCAGAGTATCTTCCCAACCCAGGAACTGAACCCGCGTCTCCTATGTCTCCTGCATCAGCAGGCGGATTCTTTACCACCAGTGCCGTGTGGGAAGCCTGACATACTGTTCACTTCTGCCATATTCTAGTTAGTTAAAGCAAGTCACTGAATCCAGCCCACACTCAAGGGAGAGGGATTTGGCTCTGCCTCTGAAAGGGGTGGGGGAGCACTCAGAGACTTTTTGGAAGTGTTTTACAGCTTCTACAGTAATCTCCTAGGTCTGTGACATGGGCACACGTTTTTCACTTAGGACTGTAGGATATTTTAACACATTTCAGAAAGAAATGGGCAAGTCGTTTCCCTTCTCACCTGCTCATACTCCAGGCTTGCAGAAATGAGGTTTGCTGGTGTGTTGGAGATATACTGTGGACCAAAAGAGCTCAGAAGCTCAGCCTAAACGGGATCCCACAGAAAGCATACACTTGGCTCCCCCCAAGTTGAAAATTGTCCACATTTTTTCTCCATGTACTTTCTGGAAGTGGCAGGAAGAACAGGGGAATAATATGGGGGGTACAAAGGTGAAAGAGGATGAAGGCAGGCACTGGGAAGACCAAGTTTGGAGCTGCCTCTGCTACTCTCTGTAGCTGTGGCAAGTGTTTCATTGCCTTTCTTTAAAAGAAAATAAATTACTTATCTATTTGGCTGTCCAGGGTCTGAGCTGTGGCAGGCAGGATTTTTTAAAATTGTGGCATGCGAACTCATAGTTGTGGCATGCAGAATCTAGTTCCTTGACCGGGAATTGAACCTGGGCCCCCTGCATTCAGAGCATGGAGTCTCAGCCACTGGACCACCAGGGAAGTCCGGATCTTTTCTTCTGTCTACAAAGCGGGGATCTCTCATCCCTACCCTGCCTCCCTGCCATGGTAAAGGGAAGATGAAGCCTACAGTGGATGTGAAATGTAGTTGGGATAAAATGTTTTTGTCCATGTGGCCTCATGTATAGACACACAGAGGCTGCAGCTGCCATTGGAATCCTGGCATCCACTGCTTTCTAATCTACCCTCCCTCACATTTGCATAGGGCATCTCTACAACACATATTTACCTTCTCACTCTCATCAGTCATGTTTGCTGGCATCGTAAATGATTTTCCCTGTGTAATATATCACACAGAGAAATTGACATGGAGAGGCTGCTGATGTCACACATGGGCCATGCCCTGGACCCA